CCTCTTTTAAATATTTTTCTTTTGCTCTCGTACAATGGTTTGTAATACAGTTTACTATTATTCCATCAGTACACAAATATTGTGTCTGAAACCACAAGTTAAAATGTTTTTTTTTCTTCAAATTATAGCATCTGCTTTCTTGCTTTTGAATGCATTTCAAAACCCCAATTATTTCAATGGGAATGTAAAATATACTTTTTTACAATTTAAAAATACAGCTAGTTCATAAAAATGTTGTTTCATATTTACTGGGCTCCCCAAAGAATGTTTTTTAAAAAGTTGGAAATTTGTTCTTTGCACTGGCATGATAAGAAATGTGAGGGTTTTTAGGTTCGTACAATTTGGTTTGATCCAGCCATACCTCCCTCTTGGTTTCAAGTCACACTTTAAATGGGAAAGAGTGTAATAGTAAAGATGTTAAAACTTATCTCTTAAAATATGAAATTAGCTTTTCATGAAGAGAAGCGGGATGTTGCTGTTTAGCATGATACCAGAGAAGCTCACACTGAAGCAACTGGATACAGTCAACTTGAATTGGATTGCAAGAAAATAACATTTATTATAGCAGCAATGGTTCAACAGAGTAAGCTACTTAAGCCCAGGGAAGACGAGAATCTCTTCCACTTGAGGTTGTAGAGAAATGGAAAGGATGAGAAACTCAGACTTTATAACAAGTGCAGAATATTGCCAAAGCTTAGACCTGCAATGCATGACTGGGAGATTTCATTCGCTAAGAATATAAGCCTGTTTTGGTGGCCCACCACTGAACTAAGCCTTCTCCATTCAGTTCAACCTCTTTCTTCAAGGCCATTCAAGAATTTCTTGAAGACTATTCAAGGGCTTATTTTTCCCATCCTCTCCTTCTTCTCTATTGAATATAAACCCACCCCCAAATAACATTTCTGTATTATCTCCTCCTACTGCATTGTTCAGACACTGTCTATTTTCAACAAGTGAAAGTGAGCTCCTTTCTATGTCAAGTTCCCCTGGCTGTTTTATCCTTGATCAAACTTAATAAATGATCACCGTGTCTAGTCCTATTTATAAATTTGTAAAAAAAAAAGTTGTTATTCATACCTCTCAATACCTCCTCTCCTTACTACCGGTATGTGGAGGAGGAAGCTGGGGGGAGGGGGGGAATTCTCTATAGCAGTGTTTCTCAAGCTTGGGGGTTTTAAGAAATGTGGACTCCAACTCCCAGAATTTGGGGCTGGGGAATTTTGGGAGTTGAAGTCTATCCTTCTTAAAGCTCTCAAGCTTGATAGATAGATAACTTTTATTGTCATTTTTTTTTTACTGTGGGCACAATGGCACACATTAAAAATGAAATTTAGTTGCTTGCTCTCAAAAGTATAAACATACATAACACACATTTAAACATGCTATGTGTAGACCTACACCCTTATGTATAAGTAACATATAAATATTAATCACTGTTGAGGAATACTGCTCTATGGGATTTGCAACTCTGCTGAACACTTACCACCAAACAGAGAGTGCTACTTGCCTTTAAGTACCTAACAAGCAGAATTTGGTATCAACTCTTCTCTTTAACTAAATTCCCTGGCTTACCCAAGGAATTTAGAGGAAAAGTAACGTACCCAACCCTATTCTTATTATGTGTGGCTAAATGCTCTGTTCAGAAGAACTTGAATAACTTTCTTAGAATAGGAAGCAGACAGAAAAGAGATTCTGTAGCCAAGCTTGCTCTTGCACTGTTGTAACTTTTGCTGATAAGAGTCTAACTATGCCTTACTAAATATAATAAATAAGGAAGTCGCTTGAAAATGAAGAGAGAGAGAGAAAAAAAAACTTCCTTGCATCTGTTTCATTTTAGGATTCTCATTACATTGAGCACTGATCCTTGGTCAACTCCTTGTTTTTTCTCTCATCTAGAAATGATGGAGCTTATTATCACACATATAGTGTGCTTCCACCATGGAGGCATTCCATCTCTGTTTGAAATTGGAACATTAATAATATATTTTTCAAAGTCAGTGGGACATACTTATTAGGAAAAATGCTACGGCACCACTTCTGAACTAAGAAGCCAGATTGCAAACCACACATGCAGAGATTTAGACACTATCCTAAGGGAGGAAGAATCTTAGAAGACGTTTCATAATTGGGTCTTAGTTTTACAAACCATTAATTCAGTTGAAACCCATTTGGCCAATGGAGTGCTGAGAACTACCAATGAATGTCAGTACATAAGTCCAAGTTTCTTTACTCTTTATGAAGTGCAAAATGATTTTTCAAAACCAGCCTCCCCTCCGCGATGGGAAAATCAAACGATTCCTTCTGCTAATGGAAAGCAGGCAATGATAGATGGATTTTGGCTGACTAAGAGGAGCTGAAAAATTCAGAGTTACATATTTAATTAGAGAAGCTGAAATGGAAATGACTGCCAGTAGAAAGCAATTTACCGAAGCCCAAATGAAACTCCGAGTATAAGAGCTATCTAAAATGGTGAGCCCAAAGTCATCTCTAACATCACCCTTTTTTTATCAATGAAGGCGAGGCTTCTGGATTTCCACCTCTAAATGGCACATAGTTCTTATACCTAGTTGACATGGCAACTCCCCTGCCTGTTTGACGGATGCTTGTAGAAGGTTACATTCCAAAACATGAAAACGGTAGGGAAAAATTACTGAGGTTTTGAACCAGTGCCAGCTCTCTTCTTATTCTCAAACCGAGCACTTGGAATCAGGTTGTACACACAGAATGATCCATAACTGCTGCCAAGTTTCTGCAGTTGCAAAGCATTGTGCTAAACTTAAGCTTCTTGTCAACACTTGGTTTAGCTCCCTACATCCATTCCAAAAAAAACCCCTCTTTTGAGCTCCAGATTTATTGTCAAATGCCAAGGCCCACAAAACCTACTCAACTTGTCAGTCCAATTCACACCAAACTTATGACCCTCCAGATACTGCTCAACTACAACTCCCAGCACTTCTTACTATTGCCCATGGGTCGTGTTCAGCAGCAAGGAAGTGGCTTAAAAACAATTTAAATAAGCTAAATAAACTAATCTTTGCCCACTGATTGGTTAATCATACTACTTCAAGCTTCAGGTTGTCAATTTCTTGATGCATCATATATTTCATCCTGTCATAGTGTAGTGGAATTTATTCTCCCTCCCTCTCTCTCTCTCTCTCTCACACACACACACACACACACACACACACACACAGAGAGAGAGAGAGAGAGGGGAGGGGAGGGAGAGAGAGAAACAGGGAGAGTGCCAATGTCCCTGTAGATACTACTATTATTAATAAAAGAGAATATTTGTAGCTCAGGGTTGAAATGAGGGGTCCTTGGTGCTCTCCGAGCTTGGTTGTTTTCTTGCAGACATTTCATTACCCAAACTAGATAACATCATCAGTACTAACAGTGATTACATTGCCTAGTTTGAGTAATGAAATGTCTGCAAGAAAACAACCAATTTCAGAGAGCACCAAGGCCCCATCATTTCAACAAACAGAGCACCAAGGACCTGTCATTATTAGGTGCCTATTTATACAAAGAATGCTGTAAGAACTTAATTAGTTGCAAAGCATTGATTTGCCGTAAGAGTTCTTTATGCTCTGGCTTTCACATGTCAATTAGACTAAGGCTTCAGGTCACCATTCAAGTTTCACAGGTATTCCTTTTTTGTTAGGAACATCATGTAAACATAATTTTCTAGCAAAAAAGACAGTCCATGCAGATTGCCTCACTGAGGTCTATTCAGAGAAAATAGAACAAATCACTGATATTTTATATGAGGCAGAAATTAACAGAGAAACCAGACTGTACAATCACAAGCCCCTTAAACATTTCTTACAAGACTTTTAAAGCAGGAGTATGTAACTGTTCAAATTCAGGTATGGACTTCATGAATGAATAACATCTGAACTTTTATGAGTTCCTACGCCTGAACACTGAAATCTTATGAGATATAATAATTACAAAACATTTCAACCCTTTAATCCTTTAATTGCAGAATTACAGTATACCTTGTAAGGTGTTGCAACTGTTTTGGTACCTGTAAGCACTACATCACTGACCCTTGCCTGAAAATACGTTCACATTATTATTAGATATTTAAACCTTTTTTAAAGAGCCATGTTTTTGTTTCACATGTTCTTTTTCCCCATAGTTAATGCCATTAACGAAACATAAGCTAGAATCAGTAAAAAAAGCTCAGTTTATTTCTTCTAGACTGAGCATCAAGTTAAGAACATTAACAAGATCTTTTTCAGAAATGTTACTTTGAATGAATTCCATTTGCTGGACTCAAGAACCCATATGTATTTATAAAATAAGCCCTGTTACACATACTGCTTTTGGGGGGCTGAAATTTTCTTTGCTTCCTGACCCAAGAAGATAAATGACAACTGAGTGCTTCTATTAGAAAAGAAAATGTAATGGAGATGCAGCTACTCTGCTATGCTGTAGGGCACAACATTTATAGAAAAAAAATTAAAATGTCAACAAAAAGCTGCTCCACCATTTGAATAGGAAACAATATCTATTTTTTATAATTAAGTTAATCAGAAATTTCATGTATAAACTTCTAAATATCTTCCTAATTTGTTTCTTCTGATAAATTAAGCAGAAACATTGTCTTCAGAGATCTGAAAGTAATTTTGAAGACAGGCAGCTGATGATGATTGATGATGGTGATGAAGGGGCTTTAAGAAATATAGCAAGGGAAAAGCCACTCAATCTTTTCCTGTCCTATATTTTGTTGTTGTTGTTACTGTTGTTTCAAAAAAGGAAAGAAAACTGCCCTCATCGATTTTTTTCAGAATAGTTTCTCAGTTCCAATCATCCAAGTATCATTTCATTGTGTCCCATGCCACTACAATTCCTGCTTATTTATGAAAAACATGGAAGACTGCCTAATGTTCTTTATCTTATTTTTGTTCTGTTTAAACTCTTGAACTTCTGATTTATATTCATAGCATAAATACATATACACAGACACAAAATTATACACGAGTGACAAATATCACCTTTAAGTGCTGCTTCCTTCTTGGAGATCTGGGTTCCAGTTTTATGTTCTCCTGTGGATTTGGATGATGAAATAGTATCAGCAGCCCTAGCTTCCACCGCCCCTTATTTTTAACATTTATCTTGCTGTCAGACTTACTTACTTCATATTCATATTCATGAATATATGAGTATGTCTATCTATCTGTCTGTATATGTATCTATGTATATGTATACATACACATGTGGGTATTACTATAGACATACACACACACACACACACACACATTATATATATATAAAGGAGATAAACACTAACAAAAACTAATCCAAGGGGGGGGGGAGAGAAAGAAAGAAAAAGACAATCGTATGAAAAGATAAAAATAAAAAGAAACTTCCAATTTTCTCTGCAGAAAATACAAGTAGGATTACAAAATTATCTTACTCTATGATTACAAGAAAGCTCTATTTTTCCATTACCTATTTTTTTCTAGTCATCAAAACCACAAATCAAAAGTCCATTTTCTGTTTCATGCAGAAAGTCTATAAGAGGATTTCAGTCAGCAATAAATACAGATGTTGTCTCTAATCAAAAAAGTCCATTTAGCTATCTTTGCAAGTCCCATCACCTTTACCAACCATATCTCCACTGCAGATAGTACCAAATATTTTCACTGCAGTTATCATATATAAAAACGAAGTTCCGTGACTTTTTCTCAAAGACTATTTAAAATGCTTACCTCAGTTTTATTCCCTCCTGCAATAATGGGGTCTGAAGGATACTTGAATTTGTAGAGCGCATAAATTCTCTCTGCTGGTGATGAAGTGTATATTCAGAAAACAGATTTCTAAACTGCTATGTCGCAAGTGAAAGGCAATTAGGAGGCCACATGATAATCTTGCCTCTTCAGCCTCCATCCCAGGCCTTTGGAATAGCATCAAATCTTTCCCAGAACTGAGCAGCTCAGCACATACCTGCGTTTGTTTTTCCCTTCTTTTCTCCAACCTACATAAGCACATGAATGAATGAGGGTCGTGAAGATGAACTCGGAGGCTGGAAGTTACCTGCATAGCTGTAAGAATATTGGCTAAGGCCTGGCCGTAGGTGTCATGGCAATGCACTGCCACAGCGGACAATGGAACTTCCATCATAACAGATTCCAGCATTCTTTTCATACTGCCAGGAGTTCCCACTCCAATGGTATCTCCCAAAGAGACCTCATAGCATCCCATACTATATAGCCTTTTTGAGACCTGATTAGACAGAAACAGAGTTCTTTCAAATATAAGTGAGAGGTAGCAAGGGAAATATCAACGGTCTACTTTAAGGTTACAAATTCACATGTGCCAAAGAAGAATTTCAGAGGTATTAGGAACCCCATTCATTTTTCTCTTCACGTGGCTCATTTCTATCTTCTTTCTAAGATTTCTGGAGCATCTAAACCTGATGGCTTAGAATTTTGGGAATTTTAATCACAAGGGGGCTGGAAGGCACGGGGTCAGGAAAGCAGATCTAAGTTGCCAAATCATTCTTTGCACTTACAAGTGTATGTCACCTTGTCACCTTGTAGGCCTTTTAAATCGAGATTTGACCAAACAATAGGACATTCTGCTAGGTTTTAGTCTGACTAAACCAATCAAGACAGGGAAAAGGCCTATCTGATATTACAGTGTATTTAACAAATGAAAGCCTAAGCAGATCCCTGTTCCATATTCAGATAGTCCTCGAATTACAGTCACAACTGAGCCTGAAATTTTGGTTGTAAGTCATTGCAGTCGTAAGTCGAGTCACCCCCAGACGAAACTCAATTTTACAACCATTTTATGACAGTTGTTAGGTTAAATCACCAGGGCTGTTAAGCAAAATCCAAATTCAGGTTACCCAATGGACAGGTTTTGTTGAAGAGTGACCAAAAACATTGCAAAACACAATCACATGACCATGGGATACTGCAACTGGTCATAAATGTGAATCAGCTGCAGAGCCCAAACTGTAATCTCACGACCACACAAGTGGTACAACAGCTTAACTTTGAGGACAGGATTGTAGATAACTTTTATTGAGTCTATCATATCTTCAAAGAGGTTGTAAGTTTTGATTTGTATTTTTAGTCTTTGTTCCTATTTTAAAAAGCATTCAGAATTTACATCTCTTTCCTCTTTTTGAGGGGAGGGGAAATAAACTCATGTAAAAAATGTAGAGCATGAGGGACTACTTTTCTCAGCATGAGGATCTGTTTGTTTGGGGTGGCAGGTCAAAGGTTGTCCTCCAAGAAACAAAACAGTTATGAATCAGTGGGGGGGGGGGCGCTCTGCTGTTTCACCATTCCTATTCCAGAGATCAACATATACACACACATTCTTTTTCATATGGGTGGTTCTTAGACTTAAAAACATATTTGCATTGCTTCTGCAGTCCATCTACTCCTCAAATATAGAAAAGGCAAGATTGTATAAATTCTATCAGCTTTAAGACTAAATCTTGGCTTGAGCAGAAGTGTTCATGACATGTTTAGGAAGGCGCATTTATTGCATCGAATGAAGAAAATCCCCACCATATGTTTTACTTTTTGGCTTACTAAGACACAGTGGGAACTGATGCTTCTAATATTATCTGAACTGACAGTTATTCTTGCTTCTGAAAATATACACACATAGTATATTTGATGCAGCTAATAGCTATGGCTCATGCTAGTTGGACTGGAGATAGAGGCTACTTATTGTCTAATACAGCTAATAGACAGGATGTAGTCAAATAATTATATAGCTGAAATGTAATTTTTTTTCCTTCAGTGAGGAAAACTGACACCGATTTAAAGATTAGAAGTACCTCTCTTGGCAGTGTCATTTCAAAGTGCATTATATATAAATAAATATGTCAAGCATAATCCTGTATTCACAGTTTTAATTATCGCAAGGGAATCAATCATGCATGCAGCTATCCCTACAAATTTTGAAGAATAAGGATTTGTAGAGGGATATTTAATACGCGCACATTCTGCTTTGGTTTTAATTTAGAAGAAATAATCTTACTTCAGCAACCTTAGCTGGAGGAATATGTCCTTCATAAGGGCATCCCAATGCACAAGACACATACCTAAACCAAGGAAAAGAGATACACTGTTGATAGGCATCCATATAGTAATTCTCACAAGCAACCATCATGTTTTAAATGTGGTATGTACAATTAGAAAAAAATGTAAGGGTGGACAAATTTAGTCCGCAAGTCATACTATAATACTGATAAAATCGAATGCAATCTATCAGCCACCTGGTCACAAATAATATGCCATATGCCTAAATACAAACTACTGCAAAAAAATAAATCCAATGTTCTTATCACATTTATTTTTAACTAGACGCATTTATATTTACAATTTGACTTCTACTAGTTCAAACCAGCATATTATCTGTACTGAGATCACAAAATAAATCTGGCAATGTTAAGAATGATTCGAGAAGTGATATGCCGATACAAGGATGTAAGGCTCATGCAGTGGACCTCAGTCAGGATATTGCCAAAGCAGCCGCCCAACTCAGAATACTTACGTATTATATAAATGGGAATCACATGCAGCTGATGACTCCAGGCCTGCCGTAATCTGCCCCATCCTTAAACAGAATTCTGACAATAACCTATTTCATTGTCACAGAACTAAAGAACTCTGAATTTATTTCAAATTCCAGAACTGTCTTTCATGCAAAAAATTGTTCCTTTTACCTTTTTCCCAGTATACTGGGAGGGAGGAGGACTAATAGAACATTGTTGATCTATCTGTAGGTTCTACATAACCTTCTGTCCATCCTTACTATAGCAAATGTAAACTACAACCTGCTTCTAGGAGCTTACATCAGCTAACCAGCAGCTACCTTCTCTGTCTCCCTAGTCCGAGACTCACTGCGTGTTTTCCTGCTTTCACACCTATAGTTCGAATTTTACAAGCCACCTCAATCTTTCCAGCTGCCGTTAAAATACTAGCTACGCTTATCGAAGGCATGTCTGACACCTGTCTTTCCTCCACACTTGTTGCAGCTACACACACTGTATAGTCTCCAATTCTACTTGCCCTTTCTCCAGTCACATTCTTGTCCTTCAGGTAGTTTGCAGTCCCAACCCAAATATATATAAGTCAATTTTAAGCCTTTGTGGGCAAATATATAGCATTCTTCTGTATTTTCAAAGACTATTTTGGATGCCTTAATGGGAAGAACGATAAAAAATCACTGCTTCTTCTCATCTAAAAAAAGAACAGAAAACCATGGATGGAATACCAGCAACTCCACCTGGAAAACCTCTGGGAACTGAAACTATAAGTGATTATGAACGTTGATCTTTAGAAGGAACATTTACAAAATATAGCTGGGTAATTTATCAGCTTCCAATTAATGAAAATAAACCCAAACAGAAACAGTCCTACACAGAAGTCTGGCTCTTGATGGTTAGAAAGCCACAGAGGGGTGGGGGAGAGGAGAGAGGGGAGAGGGAGGGAGGGAGGGAGGGAGGGAGAGAGAGAGAGAGAGAGAGAGAGAGAGAGAGAGAGAGAGAGAGAGGGGGAGATATGCTAGCACATCCAAATGCAGAGAGATCCCCCAGAATCGAGTCTGAGACACAGATGCTGGTGTTTCCTATTATTATATTGTATATTTGAATATAATTTACACTATTCATTGTAGAAGCATTTATTTTCATTGGAAATTCATGTCTGAAGAACACATATGCATCCTAAAAGCAAATTCTTAACATGGCAGTTGATATTTCCTTAGCGGATATTATATTATAAAGCCACCAAATAATTTCTGCCAGAACTCTAGGAAATAAGGGGAGGTTGTAATAATAACTTAAAAACGTCTCCTAATGTCTCCTAATGAAAGCAAAGCTTTAAAAAAGAACAGGACTTTAGATAGTTTCAACTGTATTCCAAAATTGCTCATTGCAAAGTACTGTATTAGATGATGCAATCTTAGTGTATTTCGAGTAGCATTTTGTAATTTATTCAACAAATTTCCATAATAGGAGTGTTCAAACTTAAATAAAACTATTGCTGCCATTCCTCAATCCCATTCTCAATATTATTAAAAAATAAAAAATAATAATTGTAGATCTATTTTCTGATTTCAAACTTCAACAAACATGGACAATATAATGGCCATTTATAGCAACAAAGTACTTAATATGAAAAATTCCGCTGCTGGTGAATGAATACAAATAATTTTCATTTCCTTTAGGCAGATAATGACTCTTTATATTTCCATTACATTGGATGCTTTTCCTGTCATATTGAACTTTACAAATGAAGCACAACATTTAATTTTCCTGCATGGAAGTAAAGTCAATCACTTGTGCCATCCACAAATGGACTGCCCTTTTACTTATAAATAGAGACACATTTGTGGAATCACAGTTTGCTTGCTTAGGATTTGGAGTTTGTTTTTTTTAGGTAAAAGATAGTTTCAGGTTGCAGATTGATGTTAAGGGTGAGTTCCAGATCTGTTATGAACTCCCATCTTTCTCAAAATTAAGACATGGAAAACCTCACTATGTAAAGTTCATAGTCTCTCAAAGTATTATGAGTATCTCATAAAACTAGAGCCTGGGGTCACCTACCGAACAGAAGACTGAAAGAAAGAGTTATCCCACCCTATTAAATTTTGCTAGATTACTATGAAATGATGTAGTGTTGGCTGCTACCTTGGATATCTTAAAAGAGTGTTCAAATTAATTTATGACATATAAAGTTATGAATGTTTTATAATGAAGGTAGTTCACATCTTAATAAAGATTTTCAGTGAAAATAACAGGAAGATTCTATTCTGCTCACGATCTGCTTGTGGATATCCCATTGGCATCTGTTTAGCTCCCAAGGAAAAATGTTGAATAGGACCTGGGTCTGACCAAACACTGTTCATATTCAAGGAACTATGGGACTATATTAATAGTCTTGTAAAACAAGGTTTACAATCCTTACTCCATTTTCATCTCACCATACTTTGAGTGAGTCAGATCATACATAGAGATAGCATGATTTGCCAAGACCACCCAGTCAGTGTCTTGGCTAACAGGCAATTAAAGTTGTCTAAATGTAACATGTTATTCACCTGCTGTACTGCCCCTAGTTTAATTACAATATATTTACTTAAGCTCTTTATTTTCATGGAATTACATTCACATTTCCTATCAGGAGAGTGTCTGTAATTATATACACTTTTACATCGGGAAGGTGCTCATATAGCTTTGAATTCTTTTAAAAGACAATAAGTTTCTGTGCAGTTTGTATTATCAAATCACCAGGGAGACTTTAGTATAATTGAACATACAAAATATATTTTAAAAAATGTGATAGCTGGATTTTTAGCACATTTCTTTGAACTGTGGTCTTATAGGATGTTCTATAGTGGTAGGAAAAATGCTGTTGGACTGAGGGCTGTTAGGGATTTCTTTTATCAATAAAGGAACAGCCTTCATTTTTGATTGACCTCAGCAGCTGGTGTCCAAATGCCACTGATGACTAGAGTTTGCTGGCACATATTGTTTCATGAAGAAAGCACTTTCCAGACCCTTTGTTTATAACAGTTGTCTACAGTCCTGACATGGTTGTTTAGAATGCCTTGTTGGAAAAATACTTGGATGACATGTTATTGAAAAAAAATATTATAAGATAGAAGCAGTATATTGTATTATTTGGGTACAATGGTTGTTACCAAACAGCTTACAAACACCGTGATGATTTAGGTAACTTAAACATTTAAAGATAAGGGAAAATTGTACGTCGATATTACCCAAGGTTTCTTAAATCTTAATGTTAATAAACCTAAAGTTGCTTAAATTGTACACCCATAGCTGACTGTAGAATTCATGAACCTGTCTGAAAATATGTCTTCCTTTATCTCTGTAACATAAATATCTGAAAACTCCATTCACTAGGGCAGCGCCTTTGAGTATTAACATTATATTATTCAGGAATTTTATTCACTTTGTTATCCATGATAGGCAATTTGCTTTATGATACAATTCAAAATTTACTAATTAAGATAATTGCAAAAATCATGTTGATCAGCCATGTATACTTCTAATCTGTTCTGCTGGAAGTGAAAATTATAGTAAAGGGACAACTATATTCAAACTTTGATTAATAATTTTATGCACTGTTGCGTTCTGTTGTCGATTGTGCCGCAAGTCTTGAGAAGGGAGAAAATATGTTCTCTATATTCTCCCCTATGTTTATGCATAGAGGACACTTCCACCAGAAAGTCTTCAAAGCTTTCATGTTGAGCCTTCACAAGGTAGTGGCAACTTTGCAAATCCACATGGGATTTTGTTTCTGAACAAAATATTTTCAGAATGATTTGCAAAGCCCCTCCATCCAGGGCTTAGCTTCACCGTACCTTACAGCAGGAATTCAAAGCATTAATAATTACAGGTTGTTCAGACGAATCACTTCTTTTCCTCATTTTGAAACTTCAGCTAATTAATTCAGCTAACACTAGACTGGATATATAAATATGGAGAATGGATGTATGAATAATAATGATATTTACCTATCTTTTTTTTAAAAAAATAGTAAGCATATGATATTTGCCAATAAGCAGTTCAAGGCTTCCATATGTCAGCTAATAAATCTACATGAACATATACCAACGCTGCATGACCTTGGACCAAAGCCGGTCCAGCTGTAGCAATGGAACTTAAGAAACCTGTCTAAAGCTTTCAAGGAGATTTTTTTTCCCATTACATTTACCCACTGATGTTGATCTATTCTTGCAATATAAACTCTAATTTGCCAGGAAAAACAGGATATAAAGCTTGAAATTCTTAACGTGATTTCTGAAAGGTCCAAACTTGCCAGATTGCCTAAAGTTATACCAAAGTTGATGGTATCAAAAGCCATTAAGTAGCCTAGAAAAACCATCAGGTCCCTACACCACAGCTAGTTTCTATATTCCAGTTTAGGTCATCCATTAACATGCCAAAATAGTCTCAGGATTATATCCCAACCAAAAACCCAGGAGAAATTTAAACAGAGAAGCAGTTGCACCCAAATCCACTGGGGTCACATCTTTTTTGAGCCTTTACCCTTTACTCAAGAAAATTTGAGACTGCCTTGCACTTACAATGATCTTCCAGCTCAAGAGGCTTTTCCAATAAGGACCTTATTACTACTAGCAGGAACACAATCCACCTGATAAACGCATTAATCACCTCCTTAGCCATGGAGTCTCTCCCATCCAAGCTTAACTAATCTTTTAGTAAGGACAAGGTATTGGGCAAGACAGTGGTGGTCCTCATCTCCACATACACTACATGCTAAAACTCTCTGTCCTGCTATAACATTGGCGTCCAAATCAAGACAAATTGCACCAGCTTTTTCTGCAAATGATGATTAAAATTGTTCACAGCAAGTCTCTGTCCCTGCTGTGATGTCTAGACAGAGAAAACGCTACATAGAACAGAAATGCCCCCAAAGTGCTTTTTCCAAAAAGCAACTGGACTTTCATTGTTCTTCCTTGAAGATGTTTCGCTTCTCATCCAAGAAGCTTCTTTAGTTCTCAATGAGGAGGGCAACATCTTCAAGGCAAAACAAAGTCCAGTTGCTTTTTGGAAAAAAACACCTTCGGGACAACCATGACCTGGATGACTGAGAATCCCCTTAGACAGAGAACAGAAATGCACTCATTGCAAAGCAAAGGATTTCAAATAGGAGTTAAGTTGAACTGCACTCATTATTTGATTCAATCCACCCTGAACGCTTCTCCACAGTTCACTACCAATCACCTTAATTGCTGCAAATTTAATAAAAGACTGCTGGGAATGAAGAAACCTTTGGAGATATCCAGATCTTCAGAGGGTTCCAGAAATGGATCCTAAGAAAATGTTGGAGTTCTTCAAATACACTGAATATATTGAAAAACTGCACAAGAGAAGCTATCCAAGCTATGCATGGATATGATATGTAAACTGGGATTAACAAGGGCTTGAGTACTGCTGTAAGAGGAACTCGAGGTATTTATTCAGTCTGAAGTGAAACACAGGTTTATTGCAGAAATGGAATAACTAAGACTGCAATCTTAAAATAAGTCTTATACTGAATGTCCAACAGAATAGACTAGGATTCACTTCTGAGAAAACAACCAAAAATTGTGCTGCAAATTAGAAACCTATCTCCATTTCTTTAGTCAGTGTGAAAATCTAGCAAAGAAATGATCACATTAATAAAATTAATAATTATTACCCTCGCACTGGAATGTCCATATTTCTTGCAGATTTAACTACGGCCTCAAATCTGTCCAGGCTTTCTTCTATAGTACAATTGATATTTATTTTACTGAAAGTCTCGGATGCTGCACCAAACACCGACACTTCAGTTGCTCCAGCAGCTATCTACAAAAGCAAACAGAACAAGAAGAGAAAAAAAACCCATCATTTTTCTTAAGCAAATAGGAACTATACAATTGTAGTATATGCATTATTTTAACAGTAGTTCCTGACTACTGTAGCAAGAATAACCAAAAAGTAGTCTAGCTATAATTAATCAAATTTACATGAAGTCATTCCAAGAGCAAACTATTTCCAATTAAGATCTAGATAGTCATTACTGCTATAAGAACTGCTGCTAACTAAGATCTTCTCAGTGGTGTCCAATATCAGACCCCACATATTGGAGCAAGAATTCAAGACTAAAATAGAAAAGATGAGGCATTATGTTATGCTAGTATTTCTTAATCTTTGTTCCAGTTCATTGGCTTTTATTCTGAAAGGTCAGTGGAGATACAGAGTGAACTGAAACTCATTCACAAACTTGGAAAAGACAGAGTAATGCAATTTCTGTCAATTAGAGGTCACCAAGCTTGATGTGTGTGTCAAAAGGGGGAGGCGTCAGGGAGTTTAAGAGGTAAAATGTGGATCCTGATCATCACCCATTAAAATCAATGACAGCAGACTGCATAAGCAGTCTGCAAAGCAGACAACTTTGTCTCCCAAAAAGTAGAGAATGGAACTAGGGGATTAGCCATTTTGGCTCTAATTCTCACTAACAGAGATGAAATGATAGACGGTGTTGAAGCCATAGGAACCCTGGGAGGAAGTGATCATGCAATATTAGAATTCAACATTATAGAAGCACAACCAATAGAACACAGTCAAACTAGAGTCTTGGACTTCAAGAGAGCTAATTTCAATAAACTTAGAGAGGGCTTGGGAAGGATTCCATGGATGAGAATCCTCAAGGGGAAAACAACTCAAGAAGCTTGGGAAATTTTGAAAAATGAGATAATAAAAGCACAGTCTAGCACAATACCAACAAAGAGGAAAAACAACAGCTCTCAAAAGAAACCAGCATGGCTGCATAAAGAACTCTCTGACAAATTGAAAGATAAAAAGGACAAGTATAGAAAGTGGAAAGAGGGGAACATAACTAAGTCAGAATATCAGCAAATAGCCCGAGCCTGCAAAGATGAAGTGAAGAAAGCCAAGGCTCAAAATGAACTAAGGCTTGCGACCAAAGTCAAAAATAACAAAAAAAGCTTCTTTCAACATGTAAAAAACAAGAAAAAAGTGAAGGAAATGATTGGTCCATTAGTGGGTGGAAGTGGCAAGAAGGTGACAAGCAACAGGGAGAAAGCAGAACTATTTAACTCATTTTTTGCATCTGTCTTTACACAAAGGGAAAAAACAGACCAACCTATCAAAAATAGTGCCATAAAAAACAAAACAGAAACACAAGTTAAGATAGGCAAGAAAATGGTTAGTGAGCACCTGTCCAGCCTAGATGAGTTCAAATCGCCAGGACCAGATGGATTACACCCCAGAGTTCTCAAGGAACTGGCAGATGTGATATCGGAGCCACTGAACTATATTTTTCAAAGATCCTGGAACACAGGGGAACTACCAGAGGACTGGAAAAGAGCTGATGTAGTTCCCATCCTCAAAAAAGGAAAAAAAATGGATCCAGGAAATTACAGACCTATCAGCCTGACCTCAATACCTGGGAAGATCCTGGAAAAGATAATCAAACAACGAATCAACGAACACCTAGAGGCAAACAAAGTCATTACTAAAAGCCAACATGGGTTTGTCAAAAATAGATCATGCCAGACAAATCTTATTGCATTCTTTGACCAAGTGACAAAATTAGTGGATCAGAGGAATGCTGTGGACATAATTTACTTGGACTTCAGTAAGGCATTTGATAAAGTAGATCACAACCTACTACTTGACAAGATAGAAAAATGTGGGGTAGACAGAACCACCACCAGATGGATCCGTAGCTGGCTGACCGGCCGTACTCAGCGAGTGGTCCTCAATGGAACTGCATCTATATGGAGGGAAGTGTGTAGTGGGGTGCCCCAGGGCTCTGTTCTGGGCCCAGTACTCTTCAACATCTTCATCAACGATTTGGATGAAGGGATAGATGGGGAACTCATCAAATTTGCAGATGACACCAAGCTGGCAGGAATAGCCAACACTCCAGAAGACAGGCTTCAGATACAGAAGGATTGGACAGACTTGAACACTGGGCACTAACTAACAAAATGAAATTCAATGGTGAAAAAAGCAAGGTTCTACATTTAGGCAAGAAAAACCAAATGCACAAGTACAGCATAGGTGGCACCATGCTCAATAGTAGTAACTGTGAGAGGGACCTCGGAGTCCTAGTAGACAATCACTTAAATATGAGCCAGCAGTGTGCTGCAGCTGCCAAAAAGGCCAACACAGTGCTAGGCTGCATTAACAGAGGGATAGAATCAAGATCACGTGAAGTATTAATACCACTTACAATGCCTTGGTAAGGCCACACTTGGAATACTGCATCCAGTTTTGGTCACCACGATGTAAAAAAGATGTTGAGACTCTAGAAAGAGTACAGAGAAGAGCAACAAAGATGATTAGGGGACTGGAGGCTAAAACATATAAGGAACGGTTGCTAGAATTGGGTATGTCTAGTTTAACGAAGAGAAGGACAAGGGGAGACATGATAGCAGTATTCCAATATCTCAGGGGCTGCCATAAAGAAGAGGGAATTAAGCTATTTTCCAAAGCACCTGAAGGCAGGACAAGAAGCAACGGGTGGAAACTAATCAAGGAGAGAAGCAACCTAGAACTAAGGAGAAACTTCCTGACAGTGAGAACAATTAATCAGTGGAACAGCTTGCCTCCAGAAGCAGTAAATGCTCCAACACTGGAAGTTTTTAAGAAGAGACTGGACAGCCATTTGTCCGAAATGGTGTAGGGTTTCCTGCCCGAGCAGGGGGTTGGACTAGATGACCTCCAAGGTCCCTTCCAACTTTACTACTATTACTATTACTATTACTAATTGCTACTCTTAGGATAAGCCATAATATAGTTTGTTTGTTTTGACTCAATAGTTTGACTGAATATATATTACAGTTTATAAACCATGCTATAGGCTGTGATAGAATTTAAAGGGGACTATAGTTTATTATAATTATTTGGTCCAGTCATAGGAATATCATCCTCTTGACTGCAATTTCTTGGGACTCAGTTTGGGAAAGGAGGGAACATTTCAACTATTTTCCCAAGAGCATGACAAGCACCACAAGCAAGGTAGCAGAGGTACCATGTTGTTCCATGATGGAACACTTCAGCCCACTTCTGCCTGACTCCTCAGGAGGCACATGATGAGATATGTATTCTACTGTGAAGAGATTTCCTTAACAATTGGTACATGTGCTCTCTTCACACAGCAGTGAGCAGGAGATGTGGATACGCCCCAAAATTTGGCACAAGTCATACATTTCAAGGAATCCAAATCTTGATTAATGTATTTTGGATTTAACTTCAAGAATGGAAGCATTCTGTAATTTAGTATTTCTAAATATACAATTCTTGGAATGCTGTAAACCAGTGGTTCTCAACCTTTTTAATGCCGCAACCCCCAACCGGTCGTAAGTTGAGGATTACTCAACCAGTCGTAAGTCGAGGACTACTCAACTGGTGCAGCATCGTTTGCACAATGGGACTTTTGGCGGGCTCAGCAGGACAGAGACAGCCTGGACAATTCCTATTGGCTTTTGAAAGCCAATAGAATTAGACTCTATTCAAGAGAGTCTATTCTATTGGCTTTCAAAAGCCAATAGAATAAAAGGGAGTAGCACAGCTAAGGAAAAGGGGAAAAAAATGGCGGACTGCGTTGTTTGGCGACCCCCGTGAAATGGTCGTTCGACCCCAAATGGGGTCCCAACCCACAGGTTGAGAACCACTGCTTTAGAAGGATTTATTTTTTTCTAATTTGTATCAAAAAAAGTGTTCTTTTGTTTATTTGTTAACAGTTATCCTGACTTTATCTCGGAGCTGAAAGATGACTGGCCCAAAATCTCCCAATAGGTATTTGTGGCTAAAGGTGGATTCAAACTTGCATCTCCCCAATCTGTACCACGCTATTTTCATTCTATACATACATATACATTTATAAATACATACAGCAGAATGGAAACCATGAAGATTAGGAGTAAGGACTGGATAATGGACTCCAGGATATCGTTTTATTCCTTTCATTACGTCTGTGTGATCTGCCATCTTAAAAAAAAATCATTTCACAATGTCATATTATAATATCTGATGCCTATCTCATGGCATTAATAAAAGAACACAAAAAAACACAACCCACATACACAAACCGGATAAGCAAGATAAAACTGAGAATGTATGCCAAATAATATAGTCAGTATAACTAACATTTGTTCTCTTTCTCTCTATAGCACATGGTTATTACATGGTACTACATGTAGGAATATCTCTCAGTTTTCAAGTAATTGTGTTGTGGGCAGTGGTGGAATTCAGCTGGTTCGCACCACTTCAGCAAAAGTGATAGCTACCGTAAATGCCGGCGTACAAGGCGACCCGGCGTATAAGACGACCCCCGTCTTTATAGCTGGGCCACATTCCTAGAACGTCGTCTTATACGCCGGAAACTACCAGTATTTCCGGCGTATAAGACAACTCGGTGTATAAGACGACCCCCGTCTTTGGCGCCGATTTCAGCGCTCGCGGAAGTCGTCTTATACTCCGGCATTTACGGTAATTTTTTGTGGCCCAGGCCCAGAATGGACTTCCGGAAGCAGCATCCATACAGAGAACCGGTTGTTCACACATTTGAATCCCACCACTGGTTGTGAGTAAGATATTGAATTGAGATTTGGGATGGGCAGTTTGAGTCCTTGCTCAACATGAAGCTGCTTGCTGACACTGGACTTATTCTCAGCCCAAATAAATGACCATATTTTTGTTGTGATGGTAAAAGGAAGTGAGACTATGTTTACCATCTTGAGGTTGCAGAGGAAAGGCAAGCTATTTGTGCAATCATAACAAAACTTTAAACTCTTAATTAAATAAAGAATGTCCCTCGTACCACCTAGGAAAAGGCAAATCTTTAAAATGAAGTATACTTTACTTAATGAAATACGAAACCAATGTGACAACATTTGTGCTTTTGAATATTGTGAGACACCTGGAAATATGATTAAAAGGCTAAATAGAAAGTACAATTCAAGCACCATGAAACTTAATAGTTTCAAATAGATTTTATACAATAAATTTTATTCTTGATATTTTTTCTTGAGAGTAAAGTCTTATTTTAACATTAATGTTTCTGCAATCCATGTACAAAATGCAATAGGATACTTAAGCCATAAGCATTCCAGTGGCACCCGTTTATCATTCTTGGCAATTTCAATTATAGGTGTGGGATTCTGTTTTACATGGCACATTGCTACTGCAAACCCTTTACTTCTTCTGGCTGTTTTAACTAAAAAAAATCATCGCCAAAGAAAACATTTATAAAGAAATGGTAAAAATTCCAAAATACCTTTAAGAAAGAATAGATGGAAAAGTAACTAGCTATAATTTTATGATCTAAGAAAAGGCTGATCTAAGGGGATACAATTAAGATCATGCTTCATTGGCAAGCAATGTGGCCTCAGAATGTAAACAAATTTCATGCAAACATCAAGCTGTTATATTATACATTCAGCACTGAAATAGAAATAAAATGAGATTGTTTTCCACCCCTTGTATATGGCCAACCTAGACCAAATTTGCTACTGAAGCAGCCTCACTGGGGAAAAAAAAGAAATTAAGAAAACATTTTTAAAAACTAAGGAAGTGAAAAGAGTAGCTTATGGTTGCCTTAAATATTTCTTGAAGGAAAGTACATATCAGAATACCATATTACACTATAAAATGACAATAAGAAAAATCCAAAATTATTTTTAAATTGATTTTGTTAAGGCTAACATGAACAATATATATATATATATATATATATATATATATATATATATATATATATATATATATATATATATATATAAATTAATACAAACTAAGATACAGATGGAAAACAGAAAAAGAAATAAAAGAGAAAAACTGCAAAAAGAAAAGAAGAATAAAGGTAGAAGAGAAATATAAAATAAAGAAAAAAGATACAAAGAAGTGGCTTCTGATCTTTTTTTAACAGCAGTTATAAATACAATTGTAGATATACCTCTTTCTCCAACATTACATCGTGACGCTCTTCTTTTAATAGTCTAGCCTATGTAATCATCAAAATCATACAGCATAAGTACGTTTTATTTTTCTGCTTTATGCAAAAAGTCCATAAGGGGTTTCTAGTCAGCGATAAACATAGATATTGTCTTTTCTCTAATCAAACAGGTCAATTTGGCCACCTCAGCAAAATCTATCATCTTCACCAAACATTTCTCTATTGTTGCAGATATTGCCAAATCTTTCCATCTTTGTGTGTCCAATAATCTTCCTGTGGTTGTCATATATAAAAACAAAGTGCCATGACTTTTTTCCAACTGTTTATCCATCAGTACCAAGAGGAAAAAAAATTTTTCAGTTGTATAGCAATCTTTAAAATCTTCTGAATTGGTGCATGCATTTGAACCCCAAATGTTCTAGTTTTAGTGAGAGTTGATTCTCTTGAGCTTTCCTCTACCCTCTACAGAAGATTGTCAGTATGAGGTGTCATGAGTTTGCTAGAAGGACTATGCTGCAAAGTTTGTTCCCAGATAAGTATAGGTATTATTAATCTTCCATAACTACCACTTCATGCCTCTGCAAAATTGCCTTTGGAAGGTATTATCCACATCTTCCCTTGATTGAGGAGAGCAATAGGAGGCATTAACAACAGTATTGCTCTTATTGTTAACCCACATTCTCTCCACAGTATTGCCAAATTCATTCATTTGGATTTGTGGGCAAGGATGTTTTAATGTTTTAATCCACAATGCACCAACTGTTCTGTTTCTATTGCTTCTGTCCCGTTTGAATAAATAGTATCATACAATTGCTCTATTCTAGTTATAGAAATCATCCCACAACAGTTATCCCAGTTTCCATTTTAACTATGAAATCATATTTACTTTTCTGTATGCTGGTACAAGCTCATTCTGTTCATTTCCCATGTTTGGAACATTATGATAGACAATGAAGACATAAACTTTATAATCCAATATTCTTACTACAATAGAGATACGTGAATACCTCTTATTTTTATTGCAGAAGCTGCATGCAGGATTGAGTGATCTGCTTTGTGAATTCAGGCTATCAATAGCATTAACTTTTCCTCATGCCATTCTCCCAGAGAAATTCATGTTTCATTCCTGAGGCTGCTATTTGCCTTATAAATGGGAAAATCCTATTAAAAAATCTAAGTTTCCTGCAACAGATGTAATATCAGTGGGATGTCCCAAAGGTGCTTTTTCAAAAGGCAACCGGACTTTGTTTTTCCTTGAATATGTTTTGTTCTTCTCCAGAAATGAAGAAGCTTCTTGGATGAGAAGTATGTCTTCAAGGAAAAACGAAGTCCAGTTGCCTTTTGAAAAAGCATCTTTGGGACAACTGTGACCTGAATGACAGAAAATCTCCATAGACATTTACTAGTGGGAAGTTTCTGTGGAGAAGTATGTTCACTGATTTCCCTCTTTTCAAAAGGCAACTGGATTTCTAATTTTTGCTTGAAGCCATTTCGGTTCTCATCCAAGAAGCCTCTTCAGTTCTGCCTTTTGCCCATCTTTGGGATAACCATGACCTGGATGTCTGAGAATCTCCACAGACATCTTTCACAAACTTAAGTATTTATTCCATTTCTGAAGACCCAAGTCTCAATCCAACAAAATGCCTGCACTTATGTGTTTCTTATCAAACAGCACCCTTGGATAAGGATAATTTTGATCTGGATGACAACATGCAAAGAAAACTCACATATACCCCTTTTTTTCTCTTTAGTTACTGTCTGGAAAAAACATTAGAGAGACATTTTGATTCATACTATGCTGCCCTGTTATAATGTATAATTTGGCCCTAAATTAAAGAGATTCATTCCATGAAGTAATGCCTCATATTTAAGGTCAATTTATAAGATCACACGAAAATCCCCTTTAGATTAACTTCCAGCCTACAACGAGATATGCCACCTGAAACTGTTTGAATGTCATTACATTGTGGTGGTGATGTGGATATCCTGGTCACATTCTACTGTACACTAACTCTGACCTCAGCACAAAGAGGATTTCAAAGTAGTTTTCTATAGTTGCAATGAATATCCACGTGCAGTTATCTTATATTTGAGTTCTCAACAAAAGAAGTGCAAAATATTGCAATGCATTGCTGTGCATTTTTCTCTAACCTTTCAGAAGTCAACAGAAAAATAACGGCAACATGTTGGCTACAGGATTAACTCTGCATCATCTAGCATTAAAAATGGAAAAATCAAATGGAAGTATCTTTTGCAAAGATTATTTTTAAATTCCTTTCCATTACCATATATATTCAGAAACAATAGTAACTCTTCATAGAAATTATGACTCCACTATAGTTTGACCTCTCTAATAAATAGATCTGTCTGGATTATAAACAAGTAATGTGCCCAAGCCATTAGAGTTTGCCTAGGGGCAAAGAAATTGTCATCAGTAAACCAACCAGGACTTAGCATATATCAATTCCAATAACTATAGAAAAACAAGACAGGGCAGAAATGAGAAGCAATAAAGGAAAACTAAATAGAGAACTAATGGCCCAGAAAAAGAGTGTGGAGAAATTTCATCGTACAAGAAACACTGGCAATGCTGAGTAATGCTTAAGACTATCAGTTCTTTTGCCTACCTGAGGTACCCATTTTGAAGAAACAAAACTTGTCACTTCTATGACAGACAAGCCAGTTTTGGAAAGTTGATTGATGAGCTCAATTTTCACATCTGTAGGAAGTATAGCCTGCAAATAAGAAGAAATATCATTTCTGTACAACACAATGCCATGTGTTAAGAACATCTTAGATCCAAACACAAAACATTTATAATGCCATAAAACAAAATGTAAAAATCACCAATGATGTTTTAGGTTATTGGGCCCAGATGCTCTTTTCTTAGTCAAAATGAAACTAACACACATCCCCAGGAAATAAGTTGTAATACGTACTACTGTTGGCTCTTCCTCAGAGTCTGCAATATCTGTTTAATACAAGTGACACAGTCAACTGGAATAAAGACTATGGATAGCACATGTTTGGGAATACAAAACATATTTTTCTGACTATTACAGTAACTGGCATTACCCCAACCAGTTCAAAGCAGAACTTAAGGCTCTGTCCCCAAGAGTTTACAATTTAAAGCCTCTGAGACTAAGAGAAAGAGAGGGATGGAAATGTAATACATTTATGATAGAAGAAACATGAGAAAATCATTTAATCATAAAGTAAGACAAAAGTCAGAAAGCTGCTGTCACTATTTCCATTGTCATGAAAATAGGGACCTCACCTTCTACAAATGGATTTTTAACATCCCAACCTTTAAGTAACTTCCCTCTTCCTGCCTACTCAAATAAACACCAGGAATGTTATACGGAGTGGCTATGGAGGAAAAGGCACCACTTCCTTAATTTATATAATTTATGTAACTACTTATAGAGGAGAAAGACTGATGATAATATTGTGATATTCCAATATATGCACTGGTTTTATCTGCTTGTACTTGTGGTACAGTATCACTAAAACACTCCAAGACATCATTTTTATACGTAAATTCAACTACTGGGAACTTCATGGGCACATGTAAAATTCATTTACTTATTTGTTTATATTAGATTATTATCTCCCTTAATGTATTACTTTATAAGCAAATCAAGGTAGTCTTTCCTCCTCCTATTTTCATGACAACCTCAATCCTGTGAGGTGGCTTGAGCTAAGACAGCGTGACTGGCCCAAGTCACCCAGCCAGCTTTCATGCCTAAGGCAGAACTAAAATTCATAGTCTCCTGGTTTCTAAGCTAGAACCTTAATCATTATACCGAACTGGCTCTCCAGTTACCAAACTTCCAAGGTTCTTGTAACAAAACGGAAGCAGTTTGCATTGCCTTCTTCTGCTTGTTTTTCTGCTTCTCAGTCCACCTACAGCTCTATCATCTCCAATCCAAGTACCAACCAGGTCCAACCCTACTAAGGTTTTTAAGATCAGCTCAGGCTGACTAAGTACTTCACCAACTGCCCTTTGATTTTTGTCACATCAGTACCACTTGGGGTAGCTTCCATCTCAAGGCTATGTTTTTCATATTTAAATGTTGCATGAGCTTTAAGGCACATGTTTCTACGTGGCAAAATTCCAGATAATAGGTCGGGAGGTTGAAGAAGACAGGGAGAGAGAGATATCAAATCACATGGGAGAAGATAGTGCACAGGTCTTTCTGATTTCGCGAGGAACTTTTTTTCTTACAAATTAATAATTAAATGGGGAAAACCCATCGGCTGGGCACCAGCTAAGTGACAAACATGAAGCTATATGGAATGTCACCAAAGGGAAATAACATCCATATGGATTGAGGCTTGTAAAGACATTTTGTGAGGTTCTCGCAATTAATATAATATGCCAGAGTCCTTTTCTTAATATAAAGTTGCTATTGTATATTGTACTACTAATTGATTTCATATTGATGCTATTAAAAAACATAACCATCTCAATGAGATGAAACGCCCTCATTGCTTTTCTTTTTGTTACAGTTAGTCATATTTTGTTGATACTTTAAAGAGGAAAGATCTTGAAGACAATATTAATGCAATAGCTAGAATATTACCACAGTAAGAACTAAAAAAATGCTTACAACAAGAGATTAATTAATTACTTAATCTTAAATTTTAAAACATCACAAGAGAGGGGGATAGAAATCTAAACTCTGCTGCCTTTTATAAATTGTTGTAAACTTTTAACGGCATGATCAATTATTTGGGCTTAATTAATACAATATTGTCTTCCTCAATGGTTCACTCTCCCCATTGTTAACATACCTTTTCATTCTGTAATCCATCTCTTGGACCAACTTCCACTATTTTAACAAACTCAGGAAATCCACTTGTAAGCAATTCCTGAAACATAATATGAAAGATTTGTTAGCACATGAAAGATTATAGTTTGATCTACGCTAAGGCTCCCTCCTTAGGGATTTGCATACAGTTTGTTTTCATACTAGAAACAGGTTCAGGAATGTTAAAGGGGGAACAACGAAAATTATCTTAAAGAATCTTTGCAGAATGTATTTTCATCATCATGGAAATGTTTCCTTGCAGATTAGGATCAAATAGCCAGGATTCTAAAACATGATAGTCTTTTTCAAGAAATGGTGAAGCCAAACCCTGCTCTTATGAGAAAATAAGAAGAGGATCAACTTGATCACAGCCAGTTGCTCCTAACGTAACATTTACATTTTCAAGAAACTGATTTTCATCTAGTTTGGGAATAATTTATATCAGCAACTAGCAACATTTTGCATAAAATCTGTATTCCAGATGCTAATCCTGTGATCAAAGGAGAGTAAAGATGAAATATGGTTAAGGAAATGTAATCTTCCTTGGAAGGCAATTTGGAAAGAAAATTTTTGCCATTCTTTCCTAAACAAAACTCCAACAAATTAGTTACCAATCAAGGCACTAGATCAAATCCATGTTTTATACATTTATGTAAGTGTGTGCATATACATATATATGTGCCACAGAGATATGGTAATGACTGATACCACTGAGTGGGATAAAGGTAGACTTTTAGAGCCAGCTTTTGTATTTCTGAACAATATTTTTGTCATTAATTGGTATAAAAAAATCTGAGGGTGGTTTGATACACTTACATTGTTTCATATCCAAGCAAAAATCAGCATGAAATTGTGCTGGCATTAATTAGTGGCTTGGCATTAAAAAAGAATCTTAATTACTAACAAAATAAATAAAAGCTCAGATATCCCAAAGGATGCTTGCTCACCCCTTTGGTAGACATAATCTAGTTATGGCAAATTTAAGATTTCTAACTATTCAATATATAAGTACATATAATGAAAATCTGCCGAATCACAGGACTGTTGTTTAGTCACAACTTGCAGGACACAAAATCAGTAAGTTAAATACAGAGTTATTGTCTTGCTATGGTTCTATAAAGATGAACAATCAGACTGTAGTGAACAACATGAGTGTTTAGTTCAAAGTTTTTGCCTTAATATCTAAAACACTTTACAGGTAGTATTCAGCTGGGACCAGAACTTTTATAATTAAGTGATGCTGTCATTAAATGAATTGCATTTGATTTTACAATGTTTTTGCCAGTCATTAAGCAAATCACTCAGTTGTTAAGCAAATCTGGCTTTCCCCATTGACTTTGCTTGTCAGAATCCCCCAGGAAGGTCACAAATGGTGATCATATGAGCCCGAGATGCTGCAACTCTCATAAATACATGCTGGCTGCCAAGCAACTGAATTTTGAAGGAGGAGGGAACTAATTCATTTACCCTTCATTTCCATTAACACCATAAAAAGAAATAGAACATACACTTGCTGAATATATAAGCCCCTTTCAATGCAAAGGCAAAGCTCTCTTTTGCTACATAAAGGTAAATAGTAAAGGTTTCTCTGTCTAGTCATGTCCAATTCTAGGGGGCATTGCTCATCTCCATTTCTTAGCCGAGGGAGCCAGCGATGTCCAAAGACATTTCCATGGTCATGTACCATCTCCTCCAATTTAGAAAGTCTTTATTACTATTAATGCAAGACCTCTTCGCAGAGAGTGTATTTTGCGGATTTTTTTAAGACCATCAGATATTTGATCTTACAAGACAAATGGCACGAGTGGTACAAATGCCTCTGTGAGAAATGGGTAATTGTCTCAGACCTAGTCAGAATGTATTCATAATTTTCCATCATGAGTCAAATCTGAGAATGATCACAGGCTATTTGACAACACCCACCCACACCAGCGTGCTTGGAGAAGTAAACATCACTACCATATTACTGTATAGTGTTTTAAAGTTATCTTTTGTGGAAAATCTTAATGTGCTGTTTCAATTGCCCACACATGGCTATCAGATGGCTTGGTTGTTTCTCATTTCCATTTAGTAATAATATTTCTTTTTTCTCCCATATCAGACCAAACTTCATTGTAGTAAAAATAGCTTATTTTTCTACCCCCACAACAGTTGTATAGAAAAGATAGCTAAAAACTAGAATTCAAAAGATTAAACCTTCCCACATCCTGTGATCATGAAACTGATTGGGCCTCTTGCATCTACTTTTGAATAAAAGAAAAGCAGAAGACCTGATCCTACATGTTTAATTTAATGCAGGAGTAGGAAATTATGACAATTGTATGATCTATAGACTTCAACTCCCAGAATTCCTGAGCCCATGTAATGTCTGCATTGACGCTGTGATAAATATTGGGTGTTCAACTTGGTAAAGATGGGCTTATGTGGATCCTTAAGAGCTCTTTATCCATTTCAGCATAATCACTAAGGTTATAATAGCAGCCATTTAAAGTAAGTTCTATAGGTCTGGTGAAATTGTGGTAAAGGGCCTTCTCAAATGAAGTATCTTCCAAATGTGTTGAAAATTTCCAATTTATAATCAGCAAAATTCCCAGGCAACCTAAGATGCATTTTGGTTTTTTTAAATATAAATATTGTATTAATTTTCTAGTTTTACAATCATAAGTACTTAATAAAAAATGTGTTGGCTGGGTCCATTAGTAATTCAATGGTACATATTAACTTCTTCAATCTAGGCCCAATATTACACCATCCAATGCTTCCTCTCTTCTTCCAGTAGTACACATTTTCCCACACTAGGCAAATACAATTCTTATTGTTGTTAATACATATACAATTGACCAAACATCTTTGTTACATTTTCCTAATAATATCAATAATGTTGGTTTAAAATATTTTTTCTAACCAAAATATATCTTAATTGCATTTGCGCTTAATATCTATTTGTTCAATTAATATAGTTTTTCCTGCTTTTTAATTTTTTTAAATTTTCCATCAGTGTTCAAAATGTCTCTTATCACTTATAATTTCTCATAATAAGTTATATTTGGGTAACCAAAAGCTTCCCTCTTAGCATTTTCATATTTCCCTTCTCATACCAAAATATAATATTCTAGTTACAAATCCTATCTTTCTAGTTATAATAATACTTCTATTTGTAACATATATCTATTCTCAGCCATGTTCAAACATCTGATTAATAGTATAATATCCCATCTGATGGGTCAAACCCTCTATTTTCTTCAGTCTTACTCTAGCTTTCTTCCTTTGCCAACTAACTTTCCAAGTCAATGCATTTGAATCATCAAGTAATTCTTCCTCTGTTTTTGTGTATATTGTTTGGAATAAGAAAAACAATTTGATTAAAGTATTTTTGGAAGGACACTTAGCCCACTGATATACATTAAACAGCCTCCCTCCTTCTCCAATTTCCCACAATTCTCCTAACAGCTCTATCTTCCATTCAATCAGCTCTTCTTTCTTATCCTCAAGTGTGTTCTGAGATCTTGACAGGTAAGATATCTTTTCCATTTCCAATAATATCGCTACATCTTCTAATTCTTTGTTTGTCTGAGTCTGTCTGTTAGTTCCTTTCTTTAGGTCCTCCATCTTTGGATCTGCTTCCTCTGATTTTCCTTCTATTTTTTAGGTTGCTAGTTCCTTCTTTGTAGTCATTCTCTGAGTTTGTAGATTTAGATTAAAGAATTGTTCTTTTATCTCCTTTGTGTCATTTTTAGTCTCATCATGAGCTAAGGCAATTGTCTCTTGTATTGATTTTAACATAGAAAGAATTTCTTTCTGAATTCATCAACATTTTCTTGTTGGTATGTCAAGCTGGGGACTTTGGGGACAGGTGTTAGGGTTAGTTTTTTACCATTTGAAGCTAACTATGAAACATCGATTTTGTTTTTGTATTTTATAGTCCAATCTATTTAGGGATTTAAAAAGTTCAGTCAATTGTCATTTGAAGTCCAAATTATCCAGCCGGCCTATCAGTCTGTCCTTAAGTCTCCCCTCAGCAAGTATAAGTAAAATTCAAATTTTTCTGTCCAATGAAAAACATATCCTTTCTGTCCAGAGAGAAAAGAGCAATTAAAAATTGTTCATCAATCAAAGGTTTATAATCCAAAGTATTACATCATCTCAATCAATAATGCATGTTTCTTCTATAGGGAAATAGCTCCATGACACAGCTCTAAAAGTCAGATAGTATTTATATTTGTAGTCCAAGCAGCCAAGTTTCCTTTAGGCATAATAAATTGTAGTGCTTTAGTTCGCCACTAGATGTCGTTGATGCCGTCTTCCAGCTTTTTACATCCAACCTTATATTACAAGCTTTTTAAGTGTTTTTTTTTTAAAATCTCAAAAGCACTTTGAGTCCCCAAATTTCATAGTTATATATGTGTATTGATTTCAAATTAATCTTGTAATTTTCTCTGTTTCCCCCCAAGCAATTAATTTGCCACTTTTCTTTTCCTGAGGGAATGGGGTGGAAATTCCCCTTCCCTCTCTCATTGGGGAGGATTCTTTGCTTTGGGCGTTTTTTCCCCAGGAAAAAGTCTTAAAGTCATAAAGAGAGGATAGGGTCTCACCCAGTTCCATCCATGTTGCTTGAAAGTTGCTGGTTAATGCTTATTTTCTTCGGTTGTCAGCAGCTTCAGACTGGCCACACAAATGTAGCTAGTCTTTCCCCCACCGCCCTCCCGCGATCAATGAGGGTCCCCTCCTCCATCACCTGTTCGGGGTGACTTTCGACCCTTTTTAGGGTCCCCAGTTGGGCGAAATTGAATGCAGAAGACGGAGCCCCATCTTCCTGCGTCTGTCACACCACAACATCAACCATTGTTTCTCCTAAGATGCATTTTGTAAATTGTTTCATCACAATACAAAATGCAAGGGATAGTGGAATGCTTAGCAGAAGAACATGAAATAAGAAAGGAATTCAGGAAAAGAAATCAAATTTCAGTTAACTAACATGTTATAGTTCTATTTATTGGTATATACAAACCATTTACACTAGAGTTGACAACTTTTTTCAGCAAGGGATCATGCTTGATATTT